ATGATCATTTCATCTACATATAAAAATTTTACTTCTACCATGCCAATCCTATGATATTTGTTTATTTTTACTACCAGACTATTTTGGTTTGGGCCTATGTTTCAAAGTTTAATGGACAGATGAAGAGTAGGAATATCTGCCCTTGTTCCCCACCTTAGGGAGAAAGCATTGTATCTTTTCCATTCATATGTTTTGGTGTTTTTGCTGAAAGTATGGAGTATATGTCTTTGATCTGTTGAGAAGGTTCTGTTCTACTTCTAGTCTCCTGATAGCTTTTACCATGAACAACTGTGGAATTTAGTCCAATACTATTTCTGCAACTATTGATAGGATCATATGGCTTTTTCCTTCCTCTGTTAAAATGATGACTTATAGGGGTGGATCTTCCAATGCTGAACTGACACTGCCATCCCTATAATAAAACCACTTGCTACATACTGTCAGATCTGACTTCTGATAGTTTGTTTTGTTAAACAAATTTTTATTTATGTTCATACTTTTCTCTTCTATTATCTTTATCCAGTTTTAGTATTAACACATTTTTGCTTTCCTAAAATGAGGAGAAAAGTGTTCTTTCTTTTTTCTGCTTTAAATGTTGGATATAATTTATCACTTAAAATGTATATGAACCTGTTGTTGTCATATAGGTAGGTTTTCAAGCTAGGAATATACTTTCTTTAGTAGGTGTTATTCAAATTTTATATTTCTTCTAGAGTCAGTTTCATCAATTTGTCTTCCAAGGTACTTCATAAAAGTTGTCAAATTTATTTCAAAAAAGATTTTTGTAACATGCTTTCTATGTCCTTTTAAATTCTGTAAAATCTGTGGTAATGTCCTCTAAATCTTGATATTGTAATTTTTAAAAAAATGTATAATTGATATTGTGTAATAGGAAGAAAAGGTCTAAAGGAGTAGGGGAAGTGGGAAGGGTAGGGGAAAGGAAAGAAGGGAAAAGAAAAAATATGAGAAAAGGAAAAAAATGTAAACAGAGTCTTTGTAAATATGGAAGGGTGGAGGGGGTGAAGGGAGGGCAGGGAATGGGGAAAAAATAAGAACCAAGATACGTCATGTAAAGGTACAAGATTCCAATGATGAATGTAACTGCATTTTATACCTAATATGTACCAATAAACTTAATTGGAAAAAAAAATAAAAATGTGAGAGACAGAGAATATCTTTGTGGAAGTCAGATGACTTCACCAAAATGAAGCCCTGAACTGCCTCAAGCTCCCAGACTTACTGAGGAACAACAAAGGCATGGCATTCTGCTGAATGCAGAGGTTAGCAAGGGATAGTGACAATTTGGCTGAATTATTAACTCTTTTGTTTTTTTCTGGTACTGGGAACTGAACTCAGGACCTTGCACTTGCCAGGCAGGCATGGCACCACTGAGCTCCATCCCTGGCCCTTTGAATTATTAACTTTTATCTGATTGCCTTAAGGAGCTTTCTTATTTTCTCCACAAGGCCCATCTCTGCCCAAGTTGGCAAAACATCTCATCTTTAAGATGTTCTGGATCCTTGGAGTTAACACTCTACCACCCTGGCTCCCCTAGTTAACCCGAGTGTACATTGACTCATTGGGTGTTGCAAGGAACCCCACACCTATCTCTGAAAGATTTGGTTCCTGGCACTGAAAAGAAATGTTTATTATTGTTGTTATTCTCAGATTGGTTCCCAAGGAAAGGAAATAATAGTTCCTGAGTCAGATATATCTTCAATTAAGAGTGAGAAAGTTCAAGATGCTTAGGAGAGAAATCTTGTTCTTGTCAAAGGGACAAAATCTATGGTGCTAGGCTTTTATCATAAAGTATAATCTTAACTTCCCTAATTCCACCATTAATCTAA